TCGGAAGAAAGAGATGGAGTTGGGGACTCCACAGGGAGTGTACTTAGCCCCACTACTTTTAACATATTGATGAACATAATGGCTCGCTACGAATCTCCTGGAGGCACACAAGTTGTAATATATGCTGATGATATACTTTTACAGTGTAAAGGTGTGAGAAACATGCAAGAGGCTGTAAGGGCGGAAACGAACAGGATGTTTGTCCGCCGCTCGTTTGCATGTTCGCGTCCCCACAAAGGGGGTAGACGGAGGTGAGAAGGTCGCTGCTGCTTCCTCACACAACAGACACTACCCAGCCAGTACCACAGCTGCATTTCCCCCGCTGTTCGTTCAAACTCTGGTCGTGTACTCATCTGAGGCTCCTGGGGTTCGTGGGCTGATTCCCCAGACCTTCACTATTTGGCTGTCAATCTCCTAACACCTGCTCCAGCTACTACCGCGGCTGCCACGTCATCGCCATTTCCTCCACGCCCTATCCACCGTCCGTGCCCTGGCGTCTCTCCTGTGTGACAAGACATCGCCCACCAACGCCGGCGCCAAGTGAGGAAACTGCCCTGGACCTTCCCCCTGAGAGCTGACCACCGCGTCAACGGAACATTCCACCGGGCTGCAGCCGTAGGAAATATCTGTGCTTTGTTTGGCTCCAGTAATTGTTTGACTCCCGTCATTGTTTGACTCCCTTAATTGTTTGACTCTATGAATTGTTTGACTCCCAGTAATTGTTTATTTGATATTTGTGTAAGTGGTCTCAATTATTGTGATTATTTTCGTAGTAAAGAGATGTCAATCTCTAACGGTTGTGTGTTACCCCTTGGAAACCCATGGTTCTTGACTTTCCTTTTATAAGATCCTGATTAGGCTGCCAAGGGATTTATATCCCAAAGTCCAGTCCTTTACAGAAGCTTTAGATGCATTGAGTTCACTTTGTTGTAGAATGGGCCTTGTAATTAACAATGAAAAAACTAAATATCAGGTAAGAAATTATGAACAAAGGGATTTATTTTTTAATGGATTAAGGCTAGAAAAAGTTAATGTTTACAAATACCTTGGGATGTGCAGTCACAATCCAAAGTTTCGACCCCCCCCCCCCCCCTGGCTGGGTGTTCGCTCAGGCCAGGGTTGAGGTAAGGCTGGGTGATCGGACGCAGACTAGTTCAGCATTGTGGTAACGAGCCACTATGATGGTGAGGTTCACATTTGACCACCACACCCAGCCAGGGGGGTTGTCGAAACTTTGGATTGTGACTGTACATTGGGTATAAGTCCAACAATAAAGTACGTGAGATGCAATACCTAGAGAATGCATGTAAAGGACGTTGAAGGCCTTTAAAAGCTTTGGCATGGAAGGGAAATGGCGCAGGTATTCCCAATTTAAGGATAGTTTATATCAGTGCTATACGTTCAGTTGATGACGATGCAGCTTCCACCCTCATAATGTCGAGTAAAAAAAGTTATTCAAAAGCTTGAAATGATACAAAAAGAGTCCATGAGAATCGTTTTAGGTTGTCAACGGAACACTAGAATTGAATGATGAGAATGGAGCTCGATCTATCAAGTTTAGAACATAGAGTAAAGGAACTTGCTGTAGCCGCTACTCTTAGGACCATTAGAAGTGGAGGAGATAATAGGTTGTCCCGTGCAACAATGTGCTAAATGAAAGAACAGATCTTGGCAATGTGTCCAAGTATGCAAGGCTACTGTATAATAATATGATGGAGTATGGAGTAGATAAATATTGCATTTCACTGCAAACTTATTTTAGGTTTAGACCATGGCAGGAAGGTTGCATTACAGTAGATATTTTACAACTTGAGGGGAAAAGGGAGATTGGCATCCTAGTTATTTTCGAAATGTCTTTTTAGATCAAATAAATAGTTTTCCCATGGGGAACACTGTACATTTATATTGTGATGAAACAGTAATAAGTAACGGTGAAGCGGGATGTGGTGTTTTTAAAAGGGAATATTTTATCAATGAGTGTTATGGAGATGGAACAGTTTGGAAAAGAATTAGTAACAACACATCATCCACGCTGGCTGAACTACACGCAGTTTGTGAAGGACTTCAGGTTGCTGTAGAGAAATGTAAAGAAACGTTTATTTTTGTTGATAGTAAAAGTGCATTGGAAGCCTTGCAGATTAAAAATCCATGTAACTTTCATATTGTTAATAACTGTAAACGACTGGTCATAGTAATGCATAAAATAGAATGTGCTGTGCAGTTTGTATGGATTCCATCACATGTATATAGATGTTGTTAGCAATGTAAGTATTACAACGATAAAGAGAGGAATGGGAAAAAGCAAGAAGAGAAGTGATTGCCATATGTAGAGAGAGTTTTCAGAATTATTTGTATGTTTTACAAAACACCAATGTAACATATGGGACTAGCTTAACATCTGTTGATACTGTTATAAGAAGAGTAGGATTGGGATGCAAATATTACTGGCAGATAAGTGGAGGGGCGGGTTAACCTTGTCAACTGTGTCATCTTAGGGATGTGAAAATTTTCAACCATACAGGAACAGTGAGATCACTACTTAAAGAAACAGGTTTGTTGGGTGATTAATGGTGGAAAGATAAAAATAATTATTGCAATGTATAAGATTACATTATTATCAGTTCTTTTAATGTAGTACAGTGTTCATGTCAAAATGAACTATTTCATTGATGTAAAAATAATTATTGTATTGTTGTAACATTTATAACTTTTGAAAACCCCAGAAGGGGATGACAAAGGTGAGGGTGGGAGTAGTATACTAATCTGTCCTCTTGATGTTATAGTTTTATTGTCAATAAAGTATTTCAATTTCAATATTTAAATGTCAGTGTTATTGTTATTATTAGTCAGTGGTTTGTTTACAAATGCTCTGTTTCTACCTCGCACAATATTTACATTAATATACCTTAATGGATTTTTTTTACTATTGATGCATCTACAGTAGTACTGTATGTTATACAAGGACGACTCCCTTCCCTAATCCTACCCCCATCTCTAACAGTTGCTGATATTGTGAACAGACGTCAGTGGAGTGGCGAGTGAAGCGAGCCTAAACACTTCTTTGGAGAGTTTTGAAGCCATATGCAGTTATATTGAGGAAATTAGAACATTGAGAAAATTTTAATTAACTGTATATTTATTGATAGTGTACAAATTCCCAACACACACACACACACACACACACAAAAGTGAGACATGACTGGAGTCATTCATGTGGTTTCAAGTTGACCAGCCCTGATATGTGGAGGCCCCCAGATTGTGGAGGCCCCTGGGCAGCTGCCCACTTTGCCCACTCCTGAATCCGGCCCTGACAGACGTACCAACTGGGGATCATTTCAAAGCATTTCGTCTAGCGTTATAAATTGTAGCGATGGAAAATCTAACGATACTTTATGGGGAAGAGAGTACATGACTGAAGGAGTTTGGCTGTGTGAGGAAAGAAGGATGTACTACAACGGGTTATTCTAGTGTGACCGACATCCACACAGGAATGGTGGGCACCGCGAACAAGACGAGTGTTACGATCCCACGGCCTTGCCAGCGGTAGACAGGATGCCAAATCCACTGAACATTGCCCGTTAAAGTACCAGTAAAAAAGAGTGAGTGAAACAATATTGCGGAGAAGAGAAAGGGAAGAGAGATTATCAACTAAAGGAGAAGAGTTAATTAGACGAAATGCCTCTGATTCCACCCTATCTAACAGTTGGACAGAAGAAGAGCCACCCCAGATTTGAGAGCAGTACTCCAAGTTAGGACAAATGAATCCCTTATAAACTTGAAGCAACTGTACAGATTTCGGGAGGCATCGTTAACAATGTTGTGGAAATGGTGAGGCTTAGCGTATATATTTTAGAATTTGGCAGAATGATTGCATCCTGAAATGTGATTGGTGGGAGATCTTCTATTTTGGAAAGTGTAATTACTAAATACTGTGTTTTATTACTATTGAATTTAACCAAATTTCTAGCTCCCCATTCGGAGATGCTGCACAGAACCGCATTGATAGATGAAATGATATCAGCTCTAGAAACAGATCTAATTTGAGAAGGGAAAATTTTGAAAAAGAATGTAAAGTAGAATCATCAGCGTAAATATAGATAGAATTAGTCGTAGTGTGAAGTAAATCATTGATAAAAAGAAGGAAGAGAGTAGGTGAAAGAACAGAACCTTGTGGGGCACCACAGTAGGGGAGAGAAACCATAAGAGGGAAGCGTAGAAAGCAAAGACTTGTGCCATACCCTAGCAACTGCTTTAGAGATGTCGAGGGCCGCGACGAAAGTTTCCCTATAATCCCTAAGAAAGGATGACCAAAGATGGGTGCAGTAGGAGAGCAGATCACCAGTAGATCTCGCCTGGCGAAAGCCATACTGGTGATCCGACAAAAGAGAAAGGCGTTCAAGGTGACGGAGGAAATGAGAGTTTAAGATAGTTTCGAAAATCTTAGAGAGGGATGAAGTAAGGGCAATAGGGCGATAGTTAGAGGGATTAGAATGGTCACCCTTCTTCGGGATGGGCTGAAACGAGGCATGCTTTCAAGAAGAAGGAAAAGTTTGGGTTTTGAGGCAAAGGCGAAAGAAGCGAGCAGGCACAGGGGCCAGAATTTCAGCACACTCCCTCAGAACACGAGGAGGTATTTGTAGGTAGTAGGTAGTAGGCAGCTATCAAACAGGGAGGTACTATCGCCTGGGAAGATATTGGAAGCATAATGTGTTGTCTAATGGTAGACCCTGCTGCCATATAGCATCAAAAAAATTGGGACCAAGTCTCAAGTTGCTGATCTGGCTTTCTGCCTCATTTACACACAATTGCAGGGTCTCAATTGTTTCACTTACTATTGACAACACAACATACATATATTGTTAAACACTTTGGATCTTTTTTTCATTTTTGTATTTCTTTATTATTATTATTATTATTATTATTATTATTATTATTATTATTATTATTATTATTATTATTATTATTATTATTATTATTATTATTATTATTACATTATCGCCCCCCAGGTCCTGATGTGGGTCAATGACCTGTGCCCGGGTGGGCTAATCCCCTTAAAAAAAAAAAAAAAGCTACGTAATATTACTGAAGACAGCTTTGATACAGCTTGCTAGTACCTTACAGACTAGGAGACATTATATGAGGAAAAATAGAATGTTAGATAAGTTTCTCCCTTGGGAAGAGCTTGAGGATGTTGCCATTTTTAGGTTGAAGAACAACCGTGGAAATGATCTCGATGTTCTCCCTGGGTACTTGACTCTCAACCCGGAACCTCCTCAACAAGATGCATACCACCGTCTTCATCTCCATCATCGCCAACTTCTGACCTGGCGGCATATACAAGTAGAAACTAGATATTGCAAATAGATCATAAAACTCAACAATTTAGAAACTGTACTGTACTATATGACGCTGAAATCACCAAAGCTGAGAGGCTGAAAGCGGCTATTCCTTGAACCTGTTTGGGTGGATTGTTTATATAGACCATAAAGTGAAATCTATCATAGACCACTGCTGCACGGCTCATTGGTTAAGAGGAACATTACCTTTAGATTAAATGATGACAGTATTGAAGACAGAGACCCGTAATTTGATAGGGAGGTGCTTATGGCCTAAGACCCGGTGGTCATACACTTTCTCCTGTCCCTCATCCCGGGTAACTCAACTAGTCACACACACACACACACACACACACACACACACACACACATTGTCATATCAGGATAAATGTATTTGATAGTGTACAGTATGTTAAGACAACATTTAATGTAGACGAAACTCTCATCCTAACACTCAACTTTAGTAACTAATTGTAAAAGGCGTAATATACAGTAGTTATATATAATTAACTATGGCCACTCTCACCGATACAGTTCCTGGGTCCTGCACTGAAGGGGATGTAGGCAAAAGGGTGACGTTTGTTGGCGTTCTCCGGCAGGAACCGATCAGGATCAAACACCTCGGGGTCAGGGAATTGTTCAGGGTCATGATGAAGTTTATAAATGAAGACAGTGACGCTGGTACCCGCGGGGATGCAGTAATTGTCTGCAGGAATTACAGACAGCATATCATTATACCACTCCTTAATATAGAGCCTTTGATGCTCAACAGACATTCAATGAAATATACAAACAGATTTTATTGATGGATTGTTAGTAAAAAGAGACCACATATGGTTCCCTCAGAACTTAGATGATAGATTAAACTCACAACTCATATTCAGATTTCTACGTAACCTGATGCAATCTGAATAGTGCCAAGGAAGGAGTTTGTGCTTTCTTGAACACTTTGACTGTTATTTCCATTGCTTACACTTACAAGGAATGAAAGATTTTTAGTGCTTAAAGATAGACCAATAAGGAAATGTTAGTTTACTTATGACAACTTCCTCTTGAATCGCCCTGGAGATCGTGGCCACAGGTGGAAATATCCTCATTGTTTCTTTGATGCAGTTCTCCAAGTACTGCATCTGGCGTAAGTCAGCTACAGTCACTGGCCGGTCACTGCTACCAAAGATACCATCTATCTCCTCCTTGACTTTAGCCTTAAATAGGAGAAATCCTGTACAGTGTGAGAGCTGGTCATCACTTCCATGATTCTTGACAGGATTGATTGAGTAATTGATGTTTATTAACGAGAGGCTTGAAAGGAACTCTCACTTACAGATAACTTTGATCACATATAAGTAAGAAAATACCTGGTAGGACCCCTCAGTTGATGATCATAATTAATACTACAATGTAAACAATCCAAACACTTTTTACCTGGTTAAGAAAGTATCACCTTATCTGTTGTTCAGGTTAGATGTGACAGGGCAATAGTGTTAAGTGGCATTCCGCTGGGGAGTGTGTTAGGACCGACAATCTTCTCCATAAAATATTAATGGTTCACTTGATAACGCATCCTCTAAGGTATATCTCGTCAGTGACGATACATAGATGTTACGACGAATTCGGCCTCATGAAAACCAATAACAACTTAAAATGAGTCTCGGTAATCTTCAGGATTGATTGAACTCATCCAGATAAAGTAAGGATAGCGACCAATGGCAGGCCACCATACAATCTATTACATGAGTGACTGGAAAGAGTAAACTAGAAGTGGAAGTTGGAAATAAAATGAGTCCTAATTTGTAGATCATAAAGCATAAAAGGTATCAACCTGTATATCTGGGTAAAGACCAATGACGTATAGGATCCAGTTGAGAGCTGAGGAAGTGGTGTGGAATCCAGCCACCATCAAGGTGTCCACTTCCTCCCGGATATTCTCATCAGTGAGATCTGGATTGTCCTCAGCATAATCCAGCAGAAGATCAAGGAACCGCAACCTCTTCTTCTTACCTGTAAGAATTTTAAATGGAAACTACTTAACGTTTGATGGTTTTTCTTGTTCGATGAACTATGCGAACAAATTTGGAGGACACCTCATGTTTTTGGCTTACAGAAAATGTAAGCATAAAACTGATGAACGCCCCTCTCAGTCATGCACCCGTTGCTATTTATAGTAGTCAATAAAAAGTCTTACCTCAAATCATAACCTTTGTTGTACACCAACTGTATACCTGTAAACACCACCCACCAATTGTACACCTGTAAACACCATCCACCAACTGTACACCTGTAAACAACACCCACTAGATGTACACCTGTAAACAACACTCACCAACTGTACACATGTAAACAACTTTTTTTAACTTGGCAACCAGCCTCCCCTAGTAGCCACACCTTCGCCCTCATTTTATCACTTTAAGATTAAATATCCTATTACAAAAGTAGCTTCCCTAGTTGTTGCCTCGTAGTCAATATCTGCGACTGATGTTTGCTTTGGGGCCGAAGATCTCGTTCCCCTGAGGCATAGCAATGCAGACCCAAACAGAGAGAAGGGCAGTCGACATCTCAACATGGCTGCATTGTGGCTTCTGGGTTGCTGCTTCAGCTCAGATAACACCTATGCCAGTTTTGCGGAGAAGCGTCTTGCACTTGTTCTCATCCCGCAAGAGGCTGTGAACACCAGAGGAGTGAAGTTGCCTTGATGTACAGTCTCGTTCAAGATGCTTCGAACACTGCTGGAGACAGCTGGCAACTCAAGGCCGTTTGTTTACTATAGTACGTAGTAAATATTATGAATGAATGTAAAAGTGATCGGTGATTGGTTACTTAATTCCCCGTTGCTTAATTAATGGTTGGGCTTTGTTGTCTTGTATTATATTATACTTCTCTGCTAGTATATATTATTAATTTCATTTTAAAATGGATAGAGCAATGAGCCAACCTATTGAAATCATATTTAGATAAATAGACATAAGTAAAAATCGGTAAGTATGTTAAAGAACATCATGCATCGGGCACAGCTGTGTGCAGGTTGTTTATGAGGTTGTCTGTTTATCATTAATTTATACTAATATTATCTTCAAACGTTTTAGCCATTTCGATTAATTAATCCAGTCGTTAGTAACCGATGCTAAACAGATTTCTTTCTAAAGATGCTGATTTCATGCAACGCAAACTGCTATTTTAATTCGTGGTGGGATTAAGCAGAATCATCGCTGCTACCTCCAGTAAGTGTGTGTGTGTGTGTGTGCGTGTGTGTGTGTGTGCGTGTGTGCCTTAGCCTGTGTGTGTGTGTGTGTCAATGCTTGTCTGTGAAAACAGTTGTATAAATGACACAGTATTATTTAGTTTATATAATGAAATAATTTATTTTACATTCCCTGCGAGGCACTGGAAAGAGAAATTTATATATAATGTTTTATTTTTATCTATTTATTTATGTTTAAATTATATTTCATTAAATGGATACAACCCAGTTTTTACGAAATGAAAGACTTTCAAGTGAGATCCTCCGATGAACCAGTTTAAAAACAAGTTTTTTGCAGACAAACAAGCAATAATCGAAAGAAATGTCATTTGAAATATATAAGCTAAGTCTACTCGGAGGACAATCGTAATGGATACAATGCAATACAATACATATGCTACCGCATTAGCTACACCTACAGTACGAGATTTCATTAATTAATGTAATAATTTTCTATAATTAATAAAAACAGCAAGGGACTCCGTTGAAATCGACTTTCTTCACGAGCGCGTGCGTATGTGTATGTGTCTATGCAAGTGTGCGTGAGTGTTAGAGCATTATTGTAAGTTATGAAATAATTGTGGGGTAACATTGTAACATAGTTTGGTATTTTGGCTAAGATTTCTTCCCATTTGTTATAATAACTGAAAAGAGAAAAATATATACAAATACTCCACAGTAGGACAAACTAGAAGAGAGGGAGAAAGAGAGGGATAGAGAGAGAGAAAGGGAGACAGGAGAGAGCCAGAATGTTGACAACGAACTTTGCTGAGGTGTTAAATATGAAACAGATGGCCCTCGCCTCGGGCTGACTCGCTCTTTGTGGGGTTCAGAAGATAGTCTCTAGCCGTCCAGTGAGCTAACAAGTCAGAGAGCTAATAAGTCCTACATTAGACCCGAAACACGTAAGTTTTTATATGGTTTATAACCCCACTCTACTCAAATAAAGAACAATCAAGTCCTATGGGCAAGGATCTCATTATCCCACAGTCGCTCATTGGGCGGTTACAACAGTAAACATTCTCCAAGAATACATAAATATATTGTGAAAGGCATGACATGAACTTATTAAATATGAGATTATGAGATTGAAATATGAAAGATCAATTTCCTCGTCACAGGTGCCTTTAAGAGCCGGATCGGACAGCTGTGATCGGACCATTACATATTGTAGGAATTGTATCGTTATAGAGTTGTTTCTTTGTCTCCGTCTCCCTCTCTGATTTTTTCTGTGGTTGACCTTTGTAATTACTACATTGAATTGGGGGTGCTTGAGGGCATTCTTGCTGTTTATCCCAAATTTGCAAGCCCACACTGATTTGTCTTCAATTAGAATATGACGTCCAATGTATGTGAACCACTGACCTATATATACTGCTAATGAATATGATGTATTTCTTTCTTTCTTTGTGTACGAACCTCTGTCCTGCATGGCAATGAACAGTGACATTACCCACATGAATCTAACCTACATATATATATATATAGTTGTTAATGAATATGTTGTATTTCTTTGTGTATGAATCTCTGTCCTGCGTGGCAGTAAGAAGTGAGACCACCCTCAGTGTCAAAACTTGACTGAATTACTCAGAATAGGTAAACTGTTCTACAAGCTTTGTCAATAAATTTGTTAAACTAAAAACTAACGTGGTAGATATAGTAATTATTTCACATGCAATATATTTATCATATATGATACTGTACTCTTTCATAATAATTATAAGTATAAAGCTAGGATTTGTTTGACTTAAATCATCCTGAATACATACTGCACAAATGGGGATATTAGAAAAAGATTGTTTTCTTTACATTTATTATACAATTTGACAGATATTCATATGCATTCAGTATGTGACTTTGATTACATAGGAAATTCATTTCTGACACATTAATATTTAGTCCAGCCACCTTCATTCTCGATTACTTGCTGCAGCCTGTTGGGAACGGAGGCGACGTGATTGTGTATCAGTTGCGGTGTCCGCCTCAGGACCTCCCACTCACGGTGTGTATGCTCCTGTAGCTGCACCCTGGTTCTCTCTTCAGCTGGCTCCCACACGTTCACAATATTGCCCCAAACGTTCTCTATAGGGTTCATGTCACAACCTTCACTTGGCCAGTCTAAAATTTGCACATTTCTTTGTTCTGCAAACCACCGCGTTACAATCCGTGCGGTATGGATAGGACACCTATCGTGCATGAAAATGATGTTTTCGGGAAACGGGAAAGCATATGCACGCACCGAGGGAAGCATAACTTCTTCAATTATTTCTAAATACTGTTCAGCTGTGAATATTCCTTTTATGTCAGTCAGCTCTCCAACTCCGTGCAAATATATCCATCCCCAAACATTGCAAGTCACATGCCCACTCCTTGCTTCCTCATAAATATGCTGTCTAGCATATCGGGTGTTGTTCCTCCTCCAGCAATGCAACCTTCCGTGAGAGGTAGATGAAAAAGTTTTTTCGTCAGTGAATATTACTCTTCCCCAGAAATCTAAGCCTTCTTTAGCATACCGTCGAGCAAACTGCAACCTGCCCTCGCGATGTCGCTCATTTAACTTCTTGGTGGCGGGAGTTCTATGGTGAATGCCTCCTTCGTGAAGTCTTCGCCTGATTGTTAAAGGGAAAATATTTAATTGTAGATCCTCTCTTATTAAAAATGAAGTCTTGAAGGGGTTGGCCTCAGCGAAATTTCGGATGGCTTCAACTTGTGCAGGTGTTGTTCAGCGCGGCATTCCCGTCCTGTGGTGGTCCTTTAAACTTCCCTCCTCTTTCCATCGCTTAATCCAATAATATACAGTTGACCGAGAAATACCCAATTCTCGTGCAATTTCAGTCGGTGAAAACCCAGCTTCTTTCATGCCGATTATTCTTCCACGTTCAGTGATTTTCTGCATGTGGTATTCCATGTTGACAGGGTCCTTCTACAATTGAGGGAGTGGAAGGGTAGTCAGCACTGACAACACCTCTGTCTCCCCCACCTTCCCGCCAATAACGTGAGCGTTATATTTATATTTTTTACGCATTTATAAAAAATAAACGAATAAATAAATAAATAAGATACAAATTTATAATACATCATACACATTTTGGGAAAAAAATATAATTTTTTTTTTAAAGACACCAGACTAAACATGACGTAATCGACACAAGTCAGTAACAAGGATTTAGGGGGGGGGGGGGCGCAAAGAGTCACTCAACGAAAGAAATGCCATTTGCTGCTTGCAATATTCATAGTCTTGGAATGACAATGATATTGCTAGATAATGGCTTGTAAAACTATTAGGCATAAGCTACAGTACTAATTCACACCATCAGACGGATGGTTCGTAAGATTAATTACCATCACCTTTAATTGAACAACGTCATTATTAAATACAGACACAGACTGACACACACACACACACACACTCCACATGCGCACACGCACACACAGGGAAGTAAAACAGCAGTTTGTGTTGCAAGAAATCAGCGTCTTTAGAAAGAAGTTTTGTTTACATACAACTGGATTAATTACCCGAAAGGGATTAAACGTTTGAAGACAATATTAGTATAAATTAATGATAAACAGGCAACCTCATAAACAACCTGCACACAGCTGTGCCCGATGCATGATGTTCTCTAACATAGTTACCGATTCTTACTTATGTTTATTTATCTAAATATAAATTCATATAGGTTGGCTCATTGCTCTATCCATTTTAAAATCAAATTAATAGTGTATACTAGCAGAAAGGCATAATATAATGCGAAACAGCAAAGCCCAACCATTAATTAAGCAACGGGGAACTAAGTAACCAATCACAGATCACTTTTAAATTCATTCATAATTTTTACTACGTAGTATAGTAAACAAACGGCCTTGAGTTGCCAGCTGTCTCCAGCAGTGTTCGAAGAATCTTGAACGTGACTGTACATTCTGAATTTTCTTGCCTTATGCTCTAATCTTGTTGCTCTCGTTCATCTTTTGCGCAGCCTCAAGAGACAAGTTACAGTGACAAGCGGCCATTGGGTCGAAAATTCTGATGTCAAAGAAAACACAGTCCCCACGTCCAGAATCCTCGAGCGCTGACGTCCACTCGGGCTTCATTGGATGTGTTGGAAGTCCTGTGGAGGTTTTCACCGTCCAATGGAAGGAAGGTCGGTTCCACCATGACATCGTGGCAGATTTCCTTCTGTATATTTGCTGTGAGATCCCTTACTCCGTCAAGCTTCATGAATACGAAACCCCCTTTCTTGCACACCATGGCGTGATCAATGTCGTAGGATAAGCCATACACGCATTATGTGGGCAAACCTTCTACTGGCCAACCATACCTAAGAGCAATGGCATCTGTAAAATCTTCTTTATTAAGGCTGAAACCTTTTGCCCTTATCGGTAACATTGTTTGCCACTTCGAGGCACCCACCTCCTGCGCTATTGCGACTTTAATTTTCAAGTTCCGTGGCAATTGCAGCACCAGTTGTTGCAATTTATAAATTTGGATGTGCTGCTGTTCTGTCGCAATTGACCCTCGAATCTTGTTTAATTCGTTGGTATCCACCTGACTATTATGTGCTCAGTGAGGGCTGCCGTGAGCTTGGCTGAGTTCTGATGTTCGGTGGCAGCAAGCTCTTCTGGATTGGTCAATCCCATTCTTTTCAGTTTCGGTGGTAATGCAAGGAGTGACCTTTCTTCTGGGGTTAAATGAAAGTGTTTCACTATAGTTGCAATAAAATGACGCTTCTTCCAGAGGGCGGAGGAGGGTCCGATATCAGGGATAGTGCCCATCAGGTAATTCCAGGGATGCTTGACTTCGTGGGTGAATGCAGAAAACGCCGCATGCAGCTCAGTTTTAGCAATGTCTGACAAAGCTTGGATTTCCTTCACCCACTCATTTATCTTTCTCGCCGCGTACTCGGTCGTGAAGTATTTCGTGCCGATTACCACACGTAGATGTCTTTGGCCGTCCTTATTTATTTTGACCTCACTTCCATTGAACACCTCTACAGCCCGGCCAAGATATTCTGGCTTCAAAATGAGGAAGGACTTGCTGGTGTTTGGGTGGTACCCTACTTGTGGACCAGGTGATGTTACCAGGTCTCACCACTTTTTGATGTCCTCCGTTTTTCTTGCTCCACTAAAGTCATTAGCATATCCTACTTGCTTGACCTTGGTTCTTTCAAATTTTATTGTATGTTGGAGCATGGATAGGCTTAGTACATACATTATCATGGCAACAGGGTCCCCCTGCGTTGTTCCCTCAGTTGAATGTATGGTGGTATCACCTCTTTGGGCCTTGAATCTTGTTATATAGAGGTCTGGTTTGTTCCTATACTTTGCAAAGCTTAGACACTTGATCTTGATGTTACACAGTGTGGCCTTGCGGTTGATTATGTTGAATGTGTTGGAAGCGTCAACCAGGAGTACGGCATCACAATCGGTCTGCTCAAATATCTTTCTCATGACGTGAATTGCAGCATCACCCCCAGCCTGGTGGCCAGCACATACTTGCAGGTTCCTTTCAGTTGCTCTGACATCATTATCAACCAACTCCATAATTCATTTTCCGATGATCCGTCTCAGCACTTACCCCACCCCTATAGGCCTACATCCTGGGATTTTATCAAGGGGGAAGAGGTGGCGAGCCGTCAGAGCTTGAAAGTGATGGCAGCAAGAGGTTGCTAGCTTTCTGGCAAGGACGGCAGTGGCATTGCAGAGATCACTTGCTGCGCCATCAAACTTGTTGGTGCTGAGGATGACTCTCCAGCCTTCTGCATCCAGGCCTGAAGGGCCTGCCGCTCCCTGTTTCTTCAGTACTCTTTTCCACACCATCCCTCCTGATATTTTCTCGAACATGACAGAAATTGGGGGGTTATAGGCACCCTGAAATCTGATGCCTTCCTCTGCATTTGGATGAGGATGTTTTTCCTTCAGTTGCGTTAAGGTCTCTCTGTCTATTGGCAGCACACCATAGGAAGATTCCTCTGAGGGAAATATTACCACCGAAAACACTTTTCCCACAGGCATCGTGTTACCAAACATTCTGTCAACATCCCCAATGCCTTGCTTTCCGTCTCCTATGAATTTTAGTCTCTCCTACAGTTAAGTGTTCTTGACTTACGTAGGAGATCATCAAGGGCCCCTTTCTGCAACATTATCAATCATTTCTTCATTACTGCCACATTTTCTTTGCACTTTCTCCTTGTGCGTGTTCTCTGGCAGAATAGATGAGGTATTATTGCCAGTATAAGAAGAGCTAATGAAGCAAGAAAGCTATCGTAAGTGTAATTGTATATGAGTCGAGTCATCTCCCTGATCATTTCTTTGGTGGCCGCACACTTGGGTGATTCAAAGAGGTTAGCTAGCGACAACCTGACAACTTCTGAGAAGGCTTCTTTCACCCACTTCTCTGCATCTTCCTCCGACATGCCTTTCCAACATGTTTACTGTGTGTCATTCATCTCATGAACATCATTTTCCGACTGAGTGGGTTCATTGCTATGTCATCATCAGGTGATGGATCCCTGTCGAAGGGATTTTAACAGCTGGTCCCTTTCCTACAACCCACACAACGTGTTTTACTTCTCACACAAATACAGGTTGTGCACTTCTGGTTCCGGCCTGAGCAAAGACACACACAATTCCCAGCCATGATGTCGAGCTGGGAGGGAAGAGGAGAGAGCAGTGGGAGTAGTAGATGGTTGTGGTGCAGTTTACACATGTAAACATGACCCACCAACTGCACATCTGTAAACAACACCCACCAACTGTACACATGAAAACTCGACCCACCAACTGTACACATGAAAACAACACCCACCAACTGTACAAATGAAAACAACACCCACCAATTGTACACATGAAAACAACACCCACCAACTGTACACATGTAAACACCACCCACCAACTGTACACATGTAAACAACATCCACCAACTGTACACATGTAAACACCACCCACCAACTGTACACATGTAAACAACATCCACCAACTGTACACATGTAAACACCACCCACCAACTGTACACATGTAAACAACACCCACCAACTGTACACATGAAAACAACACCCACCAACTGTACATGTAAACACCACCACCAACTGTGTACACACATGTAAACACCACCCACCAACTGTACACATGTAAACAAATTCACCCACCAACTGTACACATGTAAACAACATCCAACTGTACACATGAAAAACAACACCCACCAACTGTACACATGTAACACCCACCAACTGCACACACACATGTAAACACCACCCACCCTAACTGTACACATGAAACAACATCCACCAACTGTACACATGAAACAACACACACCAACTGTACACATGTAAACACCACTCCACCAAATGTACACATAAAAAACACCCACCAACTGTACACATGAAACAACACACACACCAACTGTACACATAAAAACACCACCCACCAAAATGTACACATAAAAACACCCACCAACTGTACACATGTAAACACCACCCACCAAAATGTACACATAAAAACACCCACCAACTGTACACATGAAAAACAACACACACCAAATGTACACATAAAAAACACCCACCAACTGTACACATGAAAAAACACCCACCAACTGTGTACACATAAAACACCCACCAAATGTACACATAAAAAAACACCCACCAACTGTACATATGAAACAACACCCACCAACTGGGTGTACATGTAAACACCACCCACCAAATGTACACATAAAAAAACACCCACCAACTGGGTACACATGTAAACACCACCCACCAAATGTACACACATAAAAAACACCCACCAACTGTACACATGTAAACACCACCCACCAAAATGTACACATAAAAAACACCCAACTGTACACATGAAAATAACACCCACCAACTGTACACATGTAAATAACACCCACACACTGTACACATGTAAACAACACCGCCCAACTGTACACATGTAAACAACACCCACCAACTGTACACATGTTAGCAACACCAACCAACTGTACATCTATAAACAACACCCACCAACTGTACACATGTTAGCAACACCCACCAACTGTACACATGTAAATAACACCCACCAACTGTACACATGTACCAAACTGTACACACCCACCAAACTGTACACATACAATAAAACCAACTGTACACATGCACCCACCAACTGTACACATGTAAATAACACCCACCAACTGTACATGTACACATGTAAACAACACCCACCAACTCTACACATGTAAACAACACCCACCAACTGTACACATGTTAGCAACACCCACCAACTGTACACATGTAAATAACACCCACCAATTGTACATCTATAAACAACACCCACCAACTGTACACATGTTAGCAACACCAACCAACTGTACATCTATAAACAACACCAACCAACTGTACACATGTAAACAACACCCACCAACTGTACACATGTTAGCAACACCAACCAACTGTACATCTATAAACAACACCAACCAACTGTACACATGTTAGCAACACCCACCAACTGTACACATGTAAATAACACCCACCAACTGTACACATGTTAGCAACACCCACCAACTGTACACATGTAAATAACACCCACCAACTGTGCACATGTAAATAACACCCACCAGGTTTATCACATTCCTGCGGTTCATTCCTAGCCTCCTGTTGTTTGGCTCGTGCCCTCTTCCTCTCCGTGATAGCTCTTCTGGACATGTCGTGGAGGATGTCGATACAGGCGTCGTGCTCCTTAGTAGGTCCCAGAAGCCGGAACATGAAATTCAGGTGTAACCATGGCCGGTACTGACGTAACTTTATGATTTTTATCATCCTGTGTAAATAGCTGAGTTAGGTATTTCGGAACTTGGTACTTTTATTGGAGGAAAGACATACTGTATAATTGATTAAGCTGTTAATAAGAGAGGATATTTCAATTAGTGACCATGGGCAGTTAAAAGTTTATTGGATAACCTGAAGACTAGGCACCTGCTAATTTCACTTAATGATTATATATACATAATGGTTGTCCCTCGTGTAACGAGGAGTGAATTTGTTAATGGTGTAGAACCTTGGCCCAACACAACAACCACACCATGAGTTAAATAGTTGCATGACCCAGTGTCAAGGAATAGTCCGAGAAGACCGGACAGCTCGCCTACTGCACTGGCTAACCATTACCCCTGAACACGATCAGCAAATCAATTAACATCCAGGTTCCCAATTACTGCTAGGTAGACAGAGGCAAATAGCGTAAAGAAACTTGCCCATGGTTTCACCCTGCCGGAGGATCGAACCAGGGTACTCTAGTTTGCGAGGCGAGCATGCTGACCATTATACTACAGGTCGCCACTTTTTTTTTTTTTTTTGCTGGGATTAGCCCACCCGGGCACAGGTCATTGACCCACATCAGGGCATGGGGCAGAAAATGTAATACATAAGCCCCGGTTAGGTGCTTATGGCAGTAACCGGGTTAAATCGAAAAAAATGGCGGAAAATAGCAGGACGTTCTGAACGTCACTCAGGCCTAAGGGTAATAATAATAATAATAATAATAATAATAATAATAATGATGATAATAATAATAATAATAATAATAATAATAATAATAATAATAATAATAATAACAATAATAATAATAATAATAATAATAATAATAATAATAATGATAATAATAATAATAATAATAATAATAATAATAATAATAATAATAATAATAATAATAATAATAATAATAATAATAATAAAGAAATACAAAAATAAAATAAAAAGATCATAAGTGAGAAACAATATATGTATGTTGTGTTGTGTTGTTAATAGTAGGAGAAACAATTGAGACCCTGCAATTGTGTACAAATGGGGCAGAAAGTTAGATCAGCAACCTGGGAGTTGGTCACAATTTTCGTGATGCTATATGGCAGCAGGGTCTACCAATAGACAACACATTATGCTTCTAATATCTTCCCTGGCTTTAGTACCTCCCTGTTTGGCAGCTGCCTACTACCTACACTTGGTGATTAAACACCCTAATGCTACCTTGAAGTATCATGTAAAGTCAGTTCAGGTTACAGGTGAAGTAAAGTGGGGTGCTTAATCTTCAGGACTTCAATTTTATCTGTTACTGAATGTTAATTGAAGTACCAAGTACTCCTTTAACCACTTGGGTAAGGGATCACCTCTGAGCTGAATAAAATCTTCTCGCGTTAACCAAATAAAATTAAAAAAATGGCGTTTCCGTAGTGAAGGGGCTAACTATCAATGTTGAGAATTTGATTCCTTTCTTTTTTATCTGAAGAACACCTGTGTTAGAACTCTTGCAGTAAGTGTATTTAATGTTATCGAACTTATTGAAGATGATTTTTCAGGAGGAGTTAAACAATTATTTCTAAGCAAAATCTTTCAAATGTTCAAAACAACGCTGATATAAGTATTGATCTACTCTTAAATATTCCCTATTGGTTTATTTTTATAAACTGTGTGTTTGTCATTTCTACCATTTCTCAATTTGCTAAACGTTTAGTCTGTTCCTTTTCCAGTGTTAGATGTTTATAATGCAAGGAAGAATAAAAATGACAGAAAAGACACAGTGAGGAATGAAGATAGAGATGGAACACGACGGCCTAAGCTGTTCCATAACCTCCCAGTCCCGTGTATATTGGGAAGACTTGTTTCAAGAGTATTGTCGTAGATATTAATATTCTTGGGTTTTATATAAATGAAGAAAACATTGAAAATTTTAATTAATATTTTTTTTTTTTGGCCACTGACAGCGGCTAGTTTATTGTGCACCCAAGTTGAATTATACCATAAGAAGGACGAGAAGGTTCGTTTATACACCACAGTAAAGGAAGATATCACCCTCCTTGACTTTAACCAACACAAAACAATGAAAAGTTACTAACCTTTCAACAGCCTTCACATAGTCTGATTCACTGTTGTCTTGTGCGTTAATAATGTTCCCCATGACGGTCTCTGTGCAAAAGGGAGGTAAACATACTAAACATACAGTACATTACACCAAGAAATATAATAGCATTAACTTTAGGGATCTTGCTAAATTGGGATAACTTCTGTAAGTCTTTTCATATCTTCATAGAAATTTGTGTATACTGGTTATACCTCTGTAGTCGTATTAATTATCTAGAAATTTAAACTGGTTTGTATGTAAGGATGATCATGTAGATAATCTTAATACCAACCCCAAGATTAATGGTATTATTTTCCTAATTTTATTAATCTGACCTAACCTAACCTAACCTAACCTGCGGTGTCTAATCTTCATGTGAACCGATAAAAAGTATTAGAAGAAAAAACAATCCCGCTGCCTAACCCGAAATTATATCCAAACTACAGTGGGTGATGTAAGGATAGATGTCAAAAGGATGTCCATCGGCTTTCTGCTCCAACTTCCGGACCAACTTCTGGCTCTGGCTGTTGAAGACGTCAATAAAATCCTCCAGAATCTTAAAGTGGAAGGCCGGGGTCAACTGCTTCCTTCTGATATGCCAATGACTACCTACCATGGGGGGAGGAGGTGATGGTATTATTTATTATGTGAAAAAATAAAGATTAAAAACACAAATTTACTATCTTTCTTCTCTTAGGTGTTATTTATGTAGTGGGGGCAGCAACAAGTTGTGATGCTTATATTATTTTCGTCTGTTTTTATAATATTACATCAACAGTTCAAAAGTGAGTGAGTAAGTGAGTGTGTGTGTGTGTGTGTGTGTGTGTGTGTGTGTGTGTGTGTGTGTGTGTGTGTGTGTGTGTGTGTGTGTGTGTGTCCATAATTTAAACTAGTATGCATAAGGGAATGGGATAATTATGTAAATAATCGTAATACAAACCATAAATAAACTTAACCTAATTTAATGAAAGAAATTCCCGTAACTTAAAGTAATACTGTTTAAAAGAAAAAAAATATTATATGGCAAATACGTCAAGGTATAGCGTAACATAAATAATTTGATCAACAGAAGATTAAGCACCCCAGCTGATTTCACCAAATTATTAAACATGCTAATGCTAGGTTAGCGTTAGGGTGCTTAATCGTCAAGTGAAAAAGGTGAAGGTGCCTATGCTTCAGATGACTCAAATAACCATATGCAATAATACGAAACAGCTTACCAGAAGAACTTAAGAGACCGTTGCCAAGCCAGGGCTGCAAATGATCGTATGTAGCGTTCTTAGTCACGTGCTTCTGACTACTCAGTACTGCCTGCAACTCAAATAAACAGTAAATTATGTTTTGTTTGGTTCATCCTGGTCATAAAAATCACCTTATTTATTCAGTATTATGATATTAAACTGGCCATTGTAAATAGATTTGTACAAAGTGTTAATGTCCTAAAATAAGTCTTCAGCACGATTTACGTATCATACCTCTGTATAAATAATTACTTATCAATATTTGTAGTAGTAGTAATGCTAGCGTATACATATCCTTAAAAGCAACATTGTCTTCTCAGCCCGAGTTAAGAATACGGGGGGCTGTAGTATTAACATCCCCTCCTCTCTCCCCTCTTATCCAAACCACATGGCAGCTGATAGTTACTGGCGGGTGTACGATGTATGTCTAAACTCCACCCCCCCCCGCTGCCTTGCCTTAACTTCAACTTACCTGCTCCGTTATTCTTATCATAACAACTTTACCACAGTATCACTCACGTTAATCTAATTATTAGGATATTCACTCCTACTAACCTCCGCAGCTCTGGAACTGTTCAGTAAACAGTGGGCGCTCTGTCCCACCCAAATTCTGACCACTTCACCGTAGTCACTGAGCTTCATGAATGTAGGAATTACTTCTGTAACATATGACCAACAAAGAGAGAGAGAGAGAGAGAGAGAGAGAGAGAGAGAGAGAGAGAGAGTTGGTTAGTTTAGACTTGTAAATCAATATGTTGATGCTCGACGAATAAGAACACCAAAAATGACAGGTACACGAGGAAGCAGAAACTCGTACTCACCTGAAGGTTCAACGGCGAGTTGGAAAACGTTACCGATCAGTGGTCTACTTGGTGGCCCAGGGATCTGTTCCAACAGCCATACCTGTCCGACAACACCAGGTACACTGATCATATACACTTTGCTGAAACTCATAACCTGCAGAATTCAGATATGAATAAAGAACTATTGATAATAAAAGTTGCCCATTAAAAGGACAGACACTAGGTTGTCCCATACCATCTTATTTGGCATTGTACTTTAAGAAATGTGGACACTTACTAAAATCATAAACATACAGTTAGTATCCATTCGACCGCTGCGCCTCTATAAAATATGTAATATACACAGTCAGACTGACAGACAGACTCCCTCGTCTCCTTATCTGCCGCTATGGTTATCATAAAGGGAAAATATTCAGTAACTATAGCAGAACTTTGTTGTGAAACAAGACATTCACAAAAATGGGTAAACATAATAGTTTACAAGAGTGTGTGTGTGTGTGTGTGTGTGTGTGTGTGCAATAATAATAATAATAATAATAATAATAATAATAATAATAATAATAATAATAATAATAATAATAATAATAATAATAATAATAATAATAATAATAATAATAATAACAATAATAATAATCAACGGTTTATTGAAAGAGCATGACAGTCGGAAGGCTGAAAATATACAGTTACATAATTGGGGAATGGGTCTCTTCATTGACAAATATTATACAAGTAACATAAGTCATACATATATGATATATAATAACTAAGTGGAGAGAAGGTTACACAACATGGCATTTCAGCATAGTGACAGTCCAAAAAAGTAAGATTGAGATTGACTGGGAGTGAATGCACTGGTTGATTACGAGTTGTAATAACATTTACAATGGTTGGGACTGGGCTGTTCTTGTAGCGATCAGTACGTGCTCGTATGGGCGGGTTGCGGTTGTGGAGTCGAACAGCAATACGCGATCGAGCGATCTGTGTGTGTGTTAGTGGGAGGAGTGGGAGGTTGTGTGTTAGTGGGGGGTTTGTGTGTGTGTGTGTGTGTGTGTGTATGTGTGTGTGTGTGCCCTAGAGGGACGGTGCATAGGCCCACTGGCATGTGGACACGTCCTGGCTCCTACCAACCATTGCCTTGCTACCTTGCGGATTAACCTAGGGAGGTATAAGGCTACGGGAGTAAAGCCCAAACAAAAAATCTGCAGTGGAGCCCCGCATTTGGCAGATATGCTTACAGAGCTCCAACAAGACCCCCAACGGCGGTATAGGCAGAAGAGGTGACCACCATGGGAACCCAACGTCTACACCGGCGGACGAAGGCAATGCATGATACAGAGGCTACTAAGGCGAAACCCAACAAACTGGGATATTAGCAGTCCATTGCTACTCTCGCTCTCCTCAGTCGTTGCAACACTTGCACCATTAGATCAGAAAAAGGGAGAGCCAAATTGTGTGGTTGCAGCCTGCACTCCTGCCTCACCACATAAATCAACTCACGAGCAGCCATCATCCAGCTCATCATATCTCTCATCATCATCAAAACCCCTATACCCCCAAAAGTCCTATGGCGATGAACGAATGGCGACGCGGAGAGGCAGAGTTGACTACCAGGAGTCTCTAGTCACAACTCTGCACATGAGCGGCACAGATAAGATGTCGTTTATGCACTGGGATCAAGGCAGCAGTGCAATCCGGTCCCGTCTGTGCGACTGAGCAGCCCTATCGAGGAGCCACTCTGCGCACCCCACATGGGGATGGGACTAGAAAAGGTGCCCTAAACGTAGCCTGCCTAAAAAAATAACCTGACTAGACAACCGCACCCAGTAAGGTCATCCTTATGCGGTCGAAAACACAAATGAGCGTCCTTTTAGAAGAACTGTCCTTGTGGCAAAAGAGGTATAACAACGACATAGCGGTCAATAGTGAGTCCCGGTTCCCAGACGAGTGTCAACTCACAGAATGGGGGTCTGGTTATACCTTCTTCTGGAAGGTTAAGCCTGCTGTGGAGAGAAACCGCATTTATGGAATTGGATTTGTCATCCGCCAACGCATCCTACACAAGCCAAATAAAATGCCTATTGGGATCAACGAGCACCTTATGACGCTCTGGATGCAGAGGATGACATCAATGAGGCCTTTTACTCCGACCTCGACAGAGTGCTAACCTCTATCCCAGAGAAGATAAGGTTGTGCTCCTTGGTGACTTCAATGCCAGAGTTGGCAGAGATGCTGAGATTTGGCAGGGAACCATAGGGAGAAATGGAATAGACAAGTGTAATCCCAAAGGCCTACTCCTCCTTAGCAAGTGTGCTGCACACAACCTCACTATCACCAATACCTTGTTTAGGCAGGCCGACAAGTTCAAGGGTTCGTGGCAACACCCACGATCCACAACACTGGCATCTCATTGACTACATCATTGTCAGAGGAAGAGATCGCCAAGATGTCCTCATCACCCACTGCGACACTGAACATTGGCTCGCCAGAGCAAAACTTCACGTCGCCCCAAAACAGCGAAGGCAGCAAGCCTCCAGAAGAGGTTTTAAATATATGCGTCTGGAGGATCCAGCGGCATCACATGCTTGCAGAGAGCAGGTCGAACGTGGGCTGAAAAACAACCCGACAACGAACAGCCCAAATCCCAGTACCAAATGGGATATTCTCAACACTGTCATGACAAAAACCTGCAGAGAGACCCTCGGCCAAATCGAAAGAATGCACCAGGACTTGTTTGATGAAAATGACCCAGCAATCAATGTACACGTCAATGATAAAACTGCTGCTTTAACTGACTAGCAAAGCAACCCTTAGTCTCGGAACAAAGCTGATACCCTCCGCAAGAAGAAAGCTGCGGCCCAAAGGTAATTTCGAAATTTAAAGAACGACTGGTTTAAAAATGAACCATGTGAAGCACAAAAATTGCAGATCAGCACAAGATGCGCGAATTTTTCAACTCCACCAAAACATTTTATGGGCCAATCACTCGTGGCGCAGCCCCCCTCCGCTCATCCAATGGTAACTCTACAATTAAAGGCAATGAAGGCCTCCTTCACCGCTGGAAAGTGCACTACCATTCGCTGCTTAACCGAAACACTAATGTGGATGTCCTGCCTACCCAGCAGGTCCCTCAGTATCCAGAGCTGACCCACCTGAGCTATCCTCCATCCCTGGATGAGGTAGCTACTGCTATTAAACAGAAGAAAAATAACAAAGCCTCAGGGCCTGATGGAATCCCAGCCGAGGTGTATAAAGCAGGAGAACCTCTGCTTACCAGCCTTTTCCACTCTCTCATGGAGAATATATGAGGAAAGGTGGAAATCCTCAAAGCTCTTAAAGACGCCTCCATCGTCAATATTTATAAGAACAAGGGAGACAGGTCAGACTGTGGTAACTAGTAGGTAGTAGGTAGTAGGCAGCTACCAAACAGGGAGGTACTACCGCCTGGGAAGATATTGGAAGCATAATGTGCTGTCTAATGGTAGACCCTGCTGCTATATGGCATCACGAAAACTGTGACCAAGTCCCAGGTTGTTGATCTATCTTTCTGCCTCATTTACACACAATTGCAGGGTCTCAACTGTCTCTCTTACTATTGACAACACCACAAATAAAACCGTACTCATTCTTGATCTGTTTCATTCATTCCATTTTATTCTCCTATGTCAGTTGATATTAATACTGAAGCGGGGCCTTCTCGGATGGGTCCCACTGGTCGGGAAGGTTGTGGACCCCAGGGCCGACCTGATCATCATCAAGCTACTGGGGCCTCAGCTGACGCCACCGCGGTTGCTGGAGGATCGGCTTTTTTCACATTTCATTTTGCCAACATTCGCGGACTGAGATCCAATTTTTCTTCTGTGGAGCACCATCTATCAACCTCTAACTACTCTCCGAACTTCAACTGACCAAAGCAGCTTCACCCAAACCTTTTCAAGTCTCTAACTACAACCTTTATACCTACTTCCGTTCTAAGGGAGGTGTATGCGCCTACTGCAACACACGTACACCTATAGCCCGACTCACCGATCTTGAATCTCCCCTTTATGATGTCATCTGGCTCAAAATATCTCTACCTACTGTGACTATTTTTCTTTGTTTCCTATACTGTTCTCCCAACTCTACCAACTATTTCGAACTCTTTGACTATCTCACTTCTTGCCATGAGTCGTTGCTATCCACACACCCCAACACCGAGATCCTCTACCTAGGGGATTTCAATGTACATCACAGAGAGTGCCTTGGCTCTGCAAGGGATGACCCAGGTGGAGCTGAGGCACTCTCTTTTTCCTTACTTAATGATTTGGAACAAATAATCAAACGCCCTACAGGCGTTCCAGATCGACACGATCAACTTGCTAACATTCTTGATCTTTGTTTTACCTCTAACCCCTCACACTATTCATTCTCAATTTCTGCCCCCTTAGGGTCTTATGATCACAACCTTATTTCTATTAAATCAAAGTGGGCACGACCACCTCCCCCACCCCCCTCTAAACGTCAACTATGGCACTATCGGAGGGCAAGCTGGCAATCCTTGCGAGAATTCTTCACCGACTTTCCTTGGGATGAATATTGCTTTTCCACTCGGGATGCCTCGGTATGTGCTGACAGCATTGCGGGGGTTATACAGGGCGGTATGAGCGCATTTATCCCATCTTCTACCAAAACTTTCACATTACAATCATGGTTTGATCGCTCCTGCTCTCTTGCTTGCAGGGTGAGAGATAGGGCATATCGAGCTATGAAACTATCTCCTTCTCCTATTACCCACACCTCTTTCATTACTTCTTGGAATCGTTGAAAGGCTATTCTTCGTAGGGCCAAGCGGAATTTTATTAAAAGAAAGACCGCTGTCCTGACTAATTCTTCCTCTAGTAAATCCTTCTGGTCCTTAACTAAAAACATCTGTAACAACTTCTGCACGCCTTCTTTTCCTACCCTCTTCCGTCCCAATAACTCTATAGCCAACTCTCCTCCTGACAAAGACAACCTCTTTGGCACCTTATTCTCCTCTAATTCCCCCTTAGACGATTCCCACTCTATCCCTCCTACCTCTGCACCTCCTACTGAACCTATGCTCTTTCCTATAATCTCCACTCGCAGGGTTGCCGGTGTGTTATCCAAGTTGGATGTGAGTAAGGCGCATGGACCGGA